AAGAAAATTATGGCAATGGCTTCAATGAATGGTTCGAATTATTCCGGGCATATGTATGGTGTTGTACTTGTTTTTATTTTTAAGTGAAATTCTATTATGTTTTGGAATTTTAATTTTTTTTAGGTTAAAATGTTTAGAAAATTAAATCACGAGTATTGAAACAAAAATAATGTCAAGAAAAATTAACAAGAAAAAAAAAATTAGGGGTCAATCATTCTTAAACAATTTAATAAATTTGCAAACTCAAATTATGAGTTTGTAAGGTTGGAGGAAAAAAAAAAATTGAGTCCTAAAAATATATGAATAGTTGTATTTGGAGGGTGGAAATTTGAGTTTAACCCCAATATGGTTGGAGTGGTCTAAAGACTCATCTCAACACGATCTACGTCATGATGCCATGCATTTCCCCAAATTATTTCCCGAACAAAAAGTCAACTTTAAAACCATTAAAATATTCTCAAGGTAAAATTGTCTTTTATTTGAATATTTTATTAATTAAATATTAATTTAGGATCGAGTTATTACATTTTTTTAATTGACATGGACTCCACATAAAAAATAAAATTAATAAAATAAACGAAAAACAATAAAAACCAATACAAAATCTAAAAACCCCAAAAAAAAAAAAAACACTCATCTTCTTCGATATCCCCCTGCCTTCCAGCCTAACCTCCAAACCCCTCCCCATATCTCCGATCTAGCAAAACCAAGAAGACCACCAAACCATCATCGCCTTCTTCAACATCTCCCCATGCCCACCAAACCCATCTTCTCCGATATCTCCCATCCCGTCTAGCCTAAACAACATAATAAAATAACAAAAAATTAAAAATAGTAACATATCGGAATTGAAAAACCCCAAGATCATCAGAATCCATCCTCACAGGCTCCCCACCGGTTGTTTGTCAGTGTATCAGTGCCATGCCACGTATAGGAGCAAAGTTTACTCTCACTCACTTATCTCCTTTTCACAAAAATCATTCCATCATTTTCCCATTTGACCCATCATCTTTCTCTCTCAAGTCTTAAATAGAGAATTATAATTTTTCATGCTTAGGATATAATAAGATCAATCTCTCTCTAGGATTTATGAGTTTATTTATTATGGTTTGTATAAATAAACTCATAAACACAGATCGGATTTTGTCTTGGGTGAGTTATTCCTAGGAATGGATTTTGTCTTGGGTGAGTTATTCCTAGGAATGAATTAGTATTAGGACTTGGACTATAGTTGTGGTATGGAGTTACTGGAGGTGGGAGAGAGAGAGATCTGACAAGGGTGGAGGTCCGAGACCCTCTTCGTCTCTTACCCTCTTTATCATCTCCATCTCGAACCCACAGGAAAACCCATGAAATCAAATAGAGAAGCTGAAACTTTATCAAATCCTCATTGAGTTCTCCATGGATTTCGTGGAATTGGAAGCGATCAAAGGCATCTGATGGTGCTGGAACTCATGGCCAGCTTCGAATACGCGTCCTGTGGCTGTCTTGGAACTAGGCCTCATCATTTGGCCCACAGGCTCATGGGCCGATGGGGGCCAGCCGGGCCCATCGAAAAAAAGCCCGGGCCGGCCCATTATGGGTTTTGAGATGGCCCGGCCTGGCTTGGGCCAGGCTAGGCTTGGGCTTGGGTGTCTGAAGCCCGGCCCGGCCCATAAGCCTCGCCCGATTAAGCCCAAGAAAGCCCGGCCCGGCCCGGCCCGCCCACAAAAGCCCGGCCCATTAGGCCCGCATACATATATAATTATGTATAAATAAGAGTTTAGGTTTAGGATTATATCACTTAAATCACATATATAATTTGTTTCATTTCATTTACTTTTCTTTACTCATTCCTAGTTTATAATTGGATGATTAGCACATTAATTTGTGTCAATAATTAATTCAACAATTATATATATATATGTATATAAGATGAACAACATATATATATATATATATATATAAGATGAACAACATATCACATCACCAAATATAATCATATCACGAAACATAATCGTACCACCAAATATAATCATGCTTTTCTTGAACACATCACCAAATATTTGCATATTTATTCATACCATCCTTTTAAAAAAATATTTTTTTGATATTTATTATTTTTTAAAATTATTTCTTAAAACGTATTACGGTCTAATTATGTAATAACCTAAAAAATAATACTTGGTTTTATAATTTTTATGGAAAATCTTATTAAGTTGTGTAACTTTATTGGGTGTTTTATGAATTTGGTTTGATGTGAAAATATTGGAATTAAGTGAGTTTAATCTCAAATTTGGACTAAAATGCCCTTATGATTAAGTTTATGATTTTTTTTAATGAAGTAGGCTTGTTTAGGCCCGGCTCATTGGGCTTAGCCCGGCCCGATGGGCTTTTGTCAAGCCCGGGTCATGGGTCGGGCTTGGGCTTTGAATTTTCCAAGGCAACCTCCATTTTGGGTGTTTTAGTGAAACTCCCTTTATGAATTTAGTTTGATGTGAAAATATTGGAATTAAGCGAGTTTAATCTCAAATTTGGACTAAAATGCCATTATAATTAAGTTTATGATTTTTTTTTAATGAAGTAGGCCCGTTTAGGCCCGGCCTGTTGGGCTTAGCCTAATCCGGCTGATGGGCTTTCTCAAGCTCGGCTCATGGGTCGGGCTTGGGCTTTGAATTTTCTAAAAAAATTCGGCCCGACCCAGCCCAGTATTTTCTCTCTCCTCTTTAAAGCTCGACCCAGCCCCGCCTAGCTCAAGCCCATTAAATTTGGGCCGGGCTAGCTCGGCCCGGCCCATTGACGAGCCCTACTTGGAACCCAGTTACTTGCTGCCAATACGACGACGTATTGAACCTACATGCTCGGAGGGATTTGGGTATTTGGATTTTAGATTTGCCTATGAATGATTGAGGGATTTAGGGGTTGGGGAGGTTGAATTTGGGAGGGGTTAGCTGGTTGGTTGCTGCAGTGGGGGGTTTGAGTGGGGTGGGGTTTGGATATTGTTGGAGGTGAAGAGTTGGTGAGGAAAGGGTGGTGGCTGTTGGGTTTTGGTGTTAGAGGATGGTGCTGTTCGATTTTAATTTTTTATTGTTAAATGAATTTAAACAACAAAATAATTTTTTTATTAATTTTGTTTCTTATATGGAGTCCACGTCAATTAAAAAATAGGTCCAATTTTTCCCATATCAGCATTTAACAGATTCACTAACGGTTTGGCTAACAGAGAGGGTAAATTGTACGGTTGCCGGGAGTTTGAGTATGTACTTGTAAATGTCTATAAAAGGGTATGAACTTAAAAATGGTCTTATACATGGATGGACCCAGAATTTCAAAATGACGTGGGCTAAATTTACCTTACGTACAAACCTATTAAAAACTCAACGGTACGAGTAAATTTCATTGATAACAAAAAAATACATGGGGGGCATATAATGAGCCTTACCCCTCAAATAACACTTATATAAGTTGCACCCTTCGAGTCTTCATAGCATTAAAATCACTAATTGTTGATTTATTATCTATATTATCAACTAATTCTCTTTCAATATGAAGTAGCATACAATCAGCAAGAAACTCATCACCTATCTTATTTTGAAGGCATGCTAGTTGATGATTCATCATTGTCTCTTAAAAAAATCTTGAATAGTCCTTGATCTCTTAACATTACGATGTTGACCCGACATTATAAAGTATAACCTATTGAATAATATATAGAAGATGTAAACATATAGACCAACAAAAATTTCAATAAAAACATTACATACTTAAATAGTTAAATATCTAATTAAAATCCCTAATTGAAAATTCATACAAGCAAGCAAGAACACCGAGATAAAAAAAAACTAATTGATAAACCTTAATTGTAAATCCATAATTGATACTTCATAAACTCTAAATAATCCCCCAAAATTTTAAAAGAAAAGAAGAAGAAGAATGGAAAATTACCTTAGTTTGCTTTAATAAAGGTCGAGGACATGCATAATTTTCTTTTTTGTCGAAGAACAGGAGTTAGCCGCTAGCGGATGCAATAGAGAGAATTCTTTTTCTTTTTTTTTCTTTTTTATTTTTGGTAAAGGAGAGAGGGAATGTCTATGCCTAGTGGAAGTGTAATATGCTTTTTCACGTAGGGTGTGGGGTTTAGTTCTTTTCATTTATTTGTTGGCAGCCTCGTCCTAGTGAGATTAGTAATATTTTATTGGGGGTTTCACTAAAACACCCAAAATGAGGGTTGAAATTATAAAAAAATCCAACACCCAAAACACTTTATAAACACACCAAAAACCCATTATTACACACTCAAAACCCATTTATAAACACTCAAAAAATATACAATTGTTGATTTTGAGGTTGATTTTGGGTGTGTTTCTATGTTTAAATAGTGTTTGGGTTTTTTTATAAATACATGTCTAGAATTGGGTTTATTTATAAATTTGTATATTTTATTTGGGTGGGCAGCCTAATCCTAATGGGAATAATTAATAATATTTATTTAGATTACATAGGCTAGAGTATTAATTTAGCTTTGAAAAAAAACAAGTTAACTAGGCTTTAGCTCAGGTTAGCGTGCTAGTGGGTACGTCCCTGGTCCTATAGTTTGGGGAGTTTTATGTAGTTTGTCTTTTTTTAATTGTGAGGGTTGATTTCTACAAGAATCATAGTTAACGGCTGAAAATCCAGAAAGAAATGTCCAGAGGCCTAAGGTTACATATAAGTTTCCTTTAGGTTGCTCGACTTGGGAATTTCTCAACCCATATTTTCCCAAACTCTAGTTCGAATTAAGAATTTTAGATCATAATCCAAATTGCCTGAAATGCCGGATTGATTCGAGTTTTTTTTTGGGGTCATGCTTGTCCAACGTACACAAAACTGCGTTAGGGTGGATTTTTTTGTCTTGGGGAGAAGAAAAAAAGTTTGTCTGTATCAGCAGTTGACAACGACATTGAAAGGAAGAAAATGTGGGGCTGGCTGGCTGAGGCTGACTGGCAGGTGAGAAAGAGAAACTGCTTTTCGCCATCTCTCTTCTGATTTCACAAAGTACAAATGAAATCCGATCTAATCCAACCGCTCAAAACACACAACTAAAAAAGTGTGTGTCTGTGAAGAAGCCCAACCCAACCTCATAAAATAAAAATATAAATACATTATGATAAAATTAAAAAAAAAAAATTACACTTTAGCGTGCGTTCTTCTTCAGAAAAATTCGATTCGAGGGTTTGCAATTGCTGCTGCAATTGGCCACATTTGTGCTCTAATAATATTTTAATGGCTTTGAAATCGAAATTGTAGAATGAGCGTCGCTCCGGCTCTAGCTCCCTCTTCCACTCCCAGCTCCAATCACTTGGTAATTTTGGCTTCGGCGGCCTACTACTCTTCCTTCTTCCACTGTAAACTGTAAATTCAAAAATATAAAAAATTAAAAAAATTATAGCAAATGTACTCGAGCAATTTGAAAGGCTTCATACTGGCTGTGGTCTCAAGCGCCTTCATCGGCTCCAGCTTCATCATCAAGAAGAAGGGTCTCAGGCGTGCCGGCGTCAATGGTCCTCGTGCCAGTAAGTTTCCTCACTCCTTTCCCTTTTATTTGATCAATTTTTTATTTATCTGTATATCAATTCTTTACTTTCTTTTTCTAATTATGATTTGATTATTTGATTAATTACTGATTTTTAATTTGTGAATTTTCGTCAATTTGTTTTCGTTTCGGTTTCATGGTAAATGCATAAAAAGGTGTCGGAGGATATGGGTATCTGTTAGAGCCCCTATGGTGGATAGGAATGATAACAAGTAAGTGACTTTTCTCTTCTGCTATTCATTTTATTTACCCCATTTGTTCTTCTGGTTCATTTAGTTTTAGGCTCTGTTTGTAATTTTAAGAGATTCAAGATTTTTTTTGAGAAGAAACGAAATTTATTGAGCAAAAGAACACGGAGGTGGATAAGGCAACCAGCACCAAAGACACAAAAACAACACAGAGAAAAACAAACAGCACCAATCCCCCCCAAACTAACAGGGAGGAACACAACCGAAAAACCTCAAAACAACACCCCCCCCCCCCCTCAGCTAACCGATGCTGCCATATCCCTCATAATAGTGGAATAAGAATAGTCTTTAAACTCTTTTGTAACCGAAGCCCACAAAGCTGCCCAGTACTTAACTCTATCCCAAAGCTCACTCACTCCCACTCCCTTATAGTCTTCAAAAATTCTCCTATTACGCTCCATCCAAATGTTCCAGAAAACAGAGTGGATCAAACAACCCCATAAAGTTGAAGCGCGCTTCCCCTTTCCCCAAACCACAAAGTGAGAACAGAGGAAATCAGAGCACCCTTTCGGAATCACCCAAACAGTCCCAACCTCCCTCCACAAAAGCCCCCAAAGACTTAAGGAAAACGGGCAATGTAAGAAAAGGTGGTCCACATTCTCCTCACAATGCTTGCACAAAACACACCATTGAGGAGATAAATACATAAACGGTCTCTTCCTTTGGACTAGATCCAAAGTGTTAACTTTCCCAAGCGCCACCAACCAAACAAAGACTTTGACCTTAGGGGGAGACTTAGCCTTCCACACAAGAGAGAAGGGATGAAAGGTCACAACCCTCCCCTTGTTGCGCAAAAAGGACTGAAAGGACTTGCAAGTGAAAGAACCCGACTCCTCAAGATCCCACCTTCTCCTATCCCTTTTAGAAACACACAATCTGAATCCTTCCAGAGTTTCCAGCAACTTAATCACCTCGACAGTCTCCCTTTCGTTCAGATTTCTCCTAAACCCAAAATCCCAATTATGAGGAAAAACCTGAGAATCAACAAAACAGTCAATGCTTAAGGAATGCTTTGAAGACAGCGCAAACAAGTGCGGAAAAGAGTCCTTCAGCAACCCCTCCGTCACCCACCTATCCTCCCAAAACCTGACCCTATTCCCATTTCCCACCTCGAAACTGCAGCACTGTAAAAAAGATTGGTAACCCGCCAAAATATCCTTCCAAGGGTTAAGAGAGGTAACCGTAGTAGCGGGATTAGCATCCCACCCATTAGTAGCTGACCCATACTTGCTTTTAACCACCGAAGCCCAAAGAGAGTTAGGTTCCAAGCCCACCTTCCTCCTTAGAAAAAGCCACCCACTCCCATTTAACCAGATGATCCCTCTTTCCTTCCTCCTCACCTTCCCATAAAAAGGATCTCATAAGCTTCTTCAAGATTGTTATGCCATTTTTCACTTTCCCCAACTTGCCCCCAGCTATGCTATGTTATTGAAAATTTTATTTTCATAGGGGTTTAGTTTACTTCAGCCATTTCATTTCAGTAGGAAATTGGAATTTGCCATTGCTTTATTCATTTCCCTTTTCCTCTGCTAGACGGACTTGAATGTTGAATGTTGATCATAATCGTAATTTTGGACAATTCACAGTGGTTGTTGGAGAGATAGCCAATTTTGTAGCATACATTTACGCCCCTGCTGGGCTTGTGACGCCGCTTGGTGCATTGAGTATCATTGTTAGGTGCGCTTGATTTCCCAATTCTATTACATATCTATAATATTATACATACATGTTTACAAATCAATCATCAAATCTTATTTCTGACAAGTTGAACTGCCTATGAATATGCGTAGTGCTGTTTTAGCGCATTTCTTGTTAAAGGAGAAACTCCAGAAAATGGGAATGTTGGGGTGCCTTTTATGCATAGTGGGTTCGACTGTGATTGTACTCCATTCACCCCAAGAGCGTTCTCTCAGTTCTGTAGAAGAAATCTGGGAGTTAGCAATACAACCTGGTATGCTGCTTAAAGGTTAATAACTAATGGATGCTCCTCTCTCCTTCCTTCCTACTAATTTTTTCGCTTTCTCGCCTCCAGCATTTCTTTTGTATACAGCCTCGGTGGTGGCTGTAACATTAGTCCTGATATTGTATTGTTCTCCCCGCTATGGACAAACCAATATACTGATTTATACAGGAATCTGCTCTATGATAGGATCATTAACAGTAAGTTGTTCTACTGTTTGTTTCTGCAATGTGCATGAACAATTACCATACATCACTTTTGAATTGACATTTTGTGGCGTTCTCATTTGTGATTAGTATTTCCATATTGCAGGTCATGAGTGTAAAAGCAATTGGCATTGCTATAAAACTCACATTAGAGGGTACAAACCAGCTAAAATACTTCCAAACATGGATTTTTGGAATGGTTGCGGTTACCTGCATCATCACTCAATTGAATTATCTAAACATGGTTGGTATCTTGTTATGCACTATTCTAATGCAACAGGAGAGCTTTGTGTAATTTTCGTTTCTATTTCTTTAGTACTTGTTTCCTCGATAATTATCCATCTGTCTGTTTTCTCTTAATTTTGAATTTTGGATTCTGTTTATAAAAAATAAAAATAAAAATCTGAGAGGGTAATATTTAAACATGAAATATTAGAAGACTGTTGAATGCTGTTCAGATTATTACCAAATGTTTACTTCTTCAAAAATCTATGTAGAAGCCAAAGTTCTGCTTCAAATCCCTCTTCCGCCATACTTTCAATCTAATTTTTGTTGGAATTGTAGAGTTTGGTGAAAATGGAATTATATTATTCTTGAGTTTGGTGAAAATGGAATTATATTATTCTTCTCTCATAGAGCTGTTAAAACTGATTTACAAGTGTTTCTAACAAGGCTAGGAAAAACAAGGAAGGGAAGTTGTCACAAAGTCAACTGTTACCACTAATTACAGCCAATTGATAAGTACCTTATTTATGAAGTGCATGTATGAAGTGCTGCAATCAATCCAATTGATAAATACCTTATTTATATTTTCTGTTTTGGTCAGAAATGTGTGAACTTTTTAGCTGGTTTCTCACTCTGGTGTGGTTGCAGGCATTGGATACTTTCAACACAGCAATTGTTTCTCCTATCTATTATGCTATGTTCACCTCTTTTACAATATTTGCCAGTGCAATAATGTTTAAGGTATCATCACGTGAACGTGTTGTGTTTGTGTGTGAGTGTTTGTTATAAATCTAATGTATGTAATCTTTTGGTAGGATTATTCTGGTCAAAGCGTGACCAGCATAGCATCAGAACTTTGCGGGTTCATCACTGTGTTATCTGGGACTGCTATATTGCATAGTACACGAGAGCCAGATCCACCTTTAATTACAGGTTTGTATGTGGTGCATCAGACTTTTGAAGATTTATGTGTGTTAAAATGGCAGTGGCCTGCATGTCTTTTTAAAGATTATGTGTGTTAAAATGGCTGTTGCTTGATATATGATGCGTAAGTCTTATTAACTTCTGTTTGTTGGTCCAAAGGCCTACATAACAGGGATTTCTGTACCCCCTTTGAAACCTTTTCCCATTGTACGGGTTTGAATCTTGAAATCATAAGCCAATTAGCTATAAAAAAATTGAAGTACTCAACATAAAAGCTTAAGCTGTTAAGTGGAGAAACTCAGTAGGGTATATATAGCTTTGTTAGAAGCTTAGCCCATCAGTTTGGGGCTAGTGCTCAATAAGGCTGTATTTCATATAACACAGTATTTCAGACTTGAGAGACTTCATTACGTTTGCAGGACTATACCACCAGTCCATAGGGCTATTGACTCAACAATACAGTTAATATTTACTAATAGTTAGCTATTATTAAAGGACGATGAATGCGTAGTTGAATATTAAAAGATGGCAGGGCATTATGTTCTGAAGTATTTTTCTTGAAATTTGATTAACAATAAATATTATATGGAGAGGCCCATTGGAAAATTATTAAAATGAAGACGTGCATTGCCTAAGGGCTTAACCTTTTTAAAAAAAAAAAACAAAAATCTACTCAGCACAGTAAAGAACCCGTGGATGTAAGGATTTACAGAAAAAATTATCCGAGAAGTAAACACTGAGAGGTTCCAATTTGGAGTTTGAGGGAATCGTGGGGATTTCAAACCAAAGAGATCAAAACTGGGAGATTCCTCCACCGAGTCCAATAATGAGATAGTCCAGTATCAAGGAAGTTGGGAAGCTGGTGTGGGTTTGGGGAGTTGGATGTTGAAAGGGAAGTTGTGCAACTGAGTTTGAAGCTAGTGATTCTGTCCTGGATGGTTGGGACAGCAGTCTAGATTGGGATCGAGAGGCATTCGAAAGCTCGGAGGGTGAGAATTCTTTGGAATCTGAAGGTAGCAAAGCTCGTTCCAGTGGCCCTCATGGTTGCAGGAAGCTAGTTTAGAAGAGTTTTTGGCTGGACAGGATCTTCACAGAATCACGGCCTGTCAAAGAAAAGATTAGATGGTATGCCCCAACCTTAAACATTTATCCAATTCATATCTGCCTTCCTCTTCTTTGCGAGTGGATCTCTTCAAATTTAAGAGTAGGGGGGTGTGGAGGGTGTGGGCAAGTTTTTTTCTATGCCAAAATGTCCCAGTAACATCCCTATGAAGTGTTAGTCTGAAAGGAAATTGAATGGATCTTGCTTACTACAACAGCAAATGCATTTGTGTAAAGTTATTATGCCACAGTCTGTGGATAAACACAGACAGATTTGTCAAGTATTCTACTCCAAACAAAACTTTGGCTTTAGAGAGGGCTGATGGTGCGTTGGAAGAAAATAAAATTTCTAAGAAGTTGAATGGGGAAAAAGGTAAGAAAGATGGGGAGTTGGAGGCTACTCAGGAAGTGGATAGGATGTTTGATCAAGAGTTGATTTCTCATTAAAAGAAATGGAAGAGAGTGAACAGTGGGAAAAGGAAGAAGGGTAGGAAACAGTTACAGAGCCTAAAGAATTTGCATTCTGGAGTTCCAATGAGATGAGCGGTGTGAAGGGGAGAGGGACGAAGGAATCAATTTGTCAGAGTATGATTAGTCAGGATCTGGGTAGCAGTATGAAAAGGATGCAATTATGGAGATTTTCTTAAAAATCACGCGTAGTTATCTTGCAAGAAACAGAGGGAAATTGGAATTGGTAAAAGGTTCAGTGCATCTGGAGGTCTAGCTTTCAAGGATGGGTGTTTTGATATTTTTTCAGTTTCAATTATAGTTGGATTTTCTAATGCTGGGGATTGTTGGCTCGCCTGAAGGTACTTTTCAAGGCATGGCAGAGGCAAAATGCCTCAGGTTGTCCACTCTTTGATGAAATGCTCCAAAGTCATAAGCCTTTCTCCTGAAGGGTGCCTTCTTCACAATAGCGCAAGAGGCTGATTCCTCTTGGGAAGACCCTTTATATCCTCTTCATCCATCCCAAGAAACACTAAAGGAACTCTGAATCTAAACTAAAATAACACCTCTGGAACCCTTGGCCCTGAACAAACCCCGTCTTGGAGGCAGTTTTGGCAGCAACTCAGTGGCTATAGGGAACTTTTGGCAGATCTAAGGGGTTTTGTTGTGTTGTTGGCAGGTCTAAGGTTTTAGTGGTGTTATCAACTGGTTGAAGAGCCAGAGGCAAAAGAAAGTAATGAGGGAGAGGATGAAGAGTTTCTTCGAGAGTGGAGATATTATTTACTTGAACATAACATCACTCCTGCTCTTGCACCCAAAAAAAAAAAAAAGGCTCTGCCCTTTCTTGAAACACCATTTACCGTATCAGTTACTTAACCAACAACATTAGTGGAACCCCAAAACATGAAATGTACGAAGTTTGAATCCAAGTAGTTTCCTACCTAACAAGTGAGAAAATAATTGGCCAATGCTAGGCTCCTGACCAGTAAGGAGGAACTTCCTCCGTATAGTTAATGTGGCATATATTGATTGGAATAAATTGGTGAAAGTGCTGAGGCCCACCTCATCAAATTACTTTTTATCAGTAATATGATGCCCCGCCCTTTCATCAATTTATGTGCCATGTTACTGGTGAGGACACCTCCTCACCAATCAGGAGCAGTGTTTTCAAAGGCGTTTCCCAGGCATGACTTGAGTGCACCTCAAAGTGAGGCAAGACCCTATCGCCTGAGGCATTAGGGTGTTTAAGAATTTGCCAAAAAGGCGGTAGTGTTATTCAAGAAGGTGTATGCTCGGGATAAAGGGCAAGCCACAAACACTCTGAGGCGCCTCTGCATATCTACTTCCTGCAGATCTTCTTCTATTACTTATATCAGGGGATGATCTTTTTAGAATTTTAGATTTCTTCTTCAGATTATCTGGCATTTTGTTTTCTGCCGTTGTCTTATTAGGTTTGGAGTTTCTCGGTGGTCTGTCAGTTTGCCATATTTTCTGTACTCTGTATACTGATAAAACAGTAGAACCATCTTCGTTGACATCCTTATTTCCTAAATAGTAGAGCCATCTAATTTCATGGCTTATTTCCTAGCTCCCATTACCTAACTTGAGGTTCACTAACAAACCTTAGAGAAAAAGACAGTATTTAATAAGATAGGATAAAGACTCCTAATACTATAGGACTTTTGATAAAACTAGATTTTTCAAGGTATCTTCATACTATACTTCTAATGATATCTTCATACTATATGTTGATCAGGTGTTCATCATTCTTCAAAATTAATTTTTTACCTGATGGCTGGCTAGATTTTTATAAGGATTTATGCTTGAGATGAAATTATGTAGGCTTCAATTATATTTGCAGTACTTCTGTCTTTAATCCTGTAAATTATTTTTACATTTGACTTGAATTGGAACATGCAGATTTGTACACACCATTATCTCCCAAGGTATCATGGTACATCCAAAGTAATGGGGAATGGAAGCAGAAGGATGAGGATGGTTCAACGCCTAATTTCATCACAATTCTTCGGCAAGACTACTTCAAGTAATGGAATATGCTTGAGACACTAACTTCTTGGTTGCAGCTCATGATTTCAGTGTCCAAAGGTCACCCCAATTTCATCACATTTTTCCAGCTTGAAAACAAGAGAGATGCTTCGGACAGTGAAATTGCTCATGAATGCAAAAATCAAACAATGCCATTCTGCTGAGATTTTTTCAGCTTACTATTCAAATTTTGAGTGATGTATTGCGCAATTGTCAAATAGCAATGGTTTTAGGGAGTGAGTTCTTCATTTTTCATTTTTATAGACAAGGATCCATCTTTGGATGATCCATATCCGGCTTATAGCTTTGTAATTTGATTTAATTGGTTTATATAATTTAATTCAATCGATTTGCTTAGCATTTATAGTTGAGGCAGCAACTAGATGTTCTTTTTAAATGATCTTTCACCCTTAACAGGAGGAAAGCAAAAGCGGATTCGAAAATTTGTAACATCTTTGACCTTACTAATCTTGCTATTCAGATGCATACAAGTTTAGCAATATTATTGTGGAGTTCTTAACAGGGTACTGGCATAGTCAAAGGTGGATGAAGGGGGTTGAGTTCTTCACTTGAGACCAATCAGTAAGGTTATTTCTAAAATCATTGTGGGAAGACTCAGACCTCTGATGTGCAAGTAGGTTAGCATTAACCAGGTTAGTTTTGTGCCCGGTAAGACAAATATTTCACAACATTTTTATTGCTCAAGAAGTGTTTTCACAGATTTCAAATGCAAAACTGGATATGTTGCTGGGAAAATTGATCTGTCCAAGGCCTATGACAGAATAGAATGATCTTTCATTGGGCAAACGCGTTGTGTGAAGAATGTTGCTCGTAAAATCATTGCGAAAGGGGAGGTTACTGATGGTTTTCAGCCTCAAAGTGTTAGGCAAGGTGACATTGCTACTGCTAGAGTGTTAGTGGAGTGGAAAGCTGTCATAGGTGCTACGTAACAATGATTTTATTCTTTACAGATGTTCATAAGACTCCTTTAACAACAATGATTTCTGCTCAGAAGACTCAGACCTCTTATCTTCTCCCATTTGGTCTTTACAGATGATTTTATTCTTTTTAGTGAGGCTTCTGAGCAGAAAGGCTTACCTTTAATCCAATCTGTCACTTCATCCTTTCCTTTATTACATTATATATGCTTACTGCTAAGCTTCCTTGTGCTAAGGCTATATGTGTGAAGAGCTTGATAAGGTTAACATAAAATTCATTTGGTTAAGTATTGTTTGAGCAAATGTAAGTTAGGCCAGTTGGTTAAGGGAGTGTGCCCGCCCATCCCTCTATTGGTATTGGATAAAGAATTTCTCTACAAACATTGGTATTGGAAGGGGAGAGAGAGAGAGAGAGAGAGTTTTACTCACTGATTTCAATTCTCATCCAAAGATCATGAATTCAGAGTGTTTTATGGAGTTTTACACACCGATTTCAATTTGTAGGGGTCTTTTTATTCCAGCAGCCTAACGAATGGGCTTGGGCTGCTAAAAAGAGAAACAGGTGAAATTACCCCCTGAGTCTGAGTTCAGAAATCAAGCTCCAAGGATGCTTTGAAAGGACAGTAGGGCCTTAGGAAACACCTTGGTTATCTTCACCGACAAAAATAATGATTGCTTACAGATAATTTCTTAGTGCTTACAGGTAAAATTTTAGCTTGGCATGAGAGGCTTGTGGCATGGGAGCAAAGTTACCATGAGTTTAGCACTAAAGAGAAAACTATGTGTTCTTGGGAGAAAGAAATGGTGTCCAGGTAAGAGAGGAAAGGTTTGCAATAGGATTTGGCTAAGAGGGAAGGGAGAGAAAGGAAAGGGTAGCTTGAGTATTTCTTCCGGTAGCTTGACAGTGACTCTGTCAAATGTTAGAGCAATCTGCCAGAAGAGGGAAAATGGGGGAGAATTGTGAATATTGCACGAAATTGCTGGGTTTTGTAAGTAAGAGAGGAAGCTTGCTCTTTAGTTGTGGATGATTTTTGTTGGGTAGAAGAGGCCCTATTTATAGCAGCTGGAAGCCATTCTTTTTCCAAGAAACCGTAATGGCTTCTATCTCATTTTGTTAAGTCTTTCTCTTCCTTTCTCCCCTTATCCCTTCAATCATCCTATTTTGGTAAAATCTACTCTGCTCCTTTACACAAAATCAGGGATTTTGGGGGCTCAAGGTCCCTGCCTTAGTGAAGAATTCCTATTTTTAGACATCCCCCTTCCTCTCTTTTCTCCCCTCTTTCATGGTCAGATCTGATAAAGGAAAGAAATGGGTATACATGTTGGTTCGAAGGATGATTCCCACTTTGTGCGCCAACATCCCATGGTTCGCTAGGTTTCTTGCTTGAAACTTGTTCCTTCCCACGTGTTGGAGCCTCCCAGCGGCTCTGCACACATGGCCTTTCAATCTTCACCCGTGGCTTTGTTTTTTATCCAGCTGCTGATGGTTTTGCAGATATTTATTTTATTTATATGGGCCTTCTAGAACAATGGGTTGGCTTATCAAATAAACGGGCCAACTTCACCAAGTTTTGGCCCATTTTGTTGAGGTGTTGGGCTAATTTTGGTTAAGCTAATGAGCTATTTTGACTAAGGTAATGGACTATTTTGGTTGGGACATTTTCTCTTTTGTGCTCACCCATATGTTTGGGCCTAAGAAATGGGCATGAGTTCCGAGGCTCACAAGCAACCCGGAACTTCTATTTCTTGGCCCATCAATGGGCCTCATGACAACTTATTACCATTCATACCACAACCCACTCAAGCAAGTCCCGGGTATTTGAGTGGCTTGGGACCCACTTAAGCTTGTGGCGTGATTGGGTGCGGAATAATAATTCCTTACTTTGTGTGACATGTCGTTTGGCATGCTTCAATTTTATTGTCCTTGAAGAGGGACCGGTGCTTAGTTTAGCATGAGATTGTATTTTATAATATTATTTCAGTCCGTGGCATGGCAAATTATTTATTTAGCATGGCACGTGGACTATGACTTGTATATGACGAGTCTTCGTGTACTCCAATATGTGACTTTTCTTGATACAATATCGTATTGGACCGAAAACTTATTTGGGCTCAACCATTGACTTTTTTGGGCCTCAACACAATTCTCATCCAAAGATCATGAATTCATAGCGTTTTATGGATTAGTCATCTCTATTTTATGCCCATAATATTTAGATTCAGAACGGAGTTAATATATAGAGAGAAATTTGAACCCAAAGTAGTCTTTCCGAGCACAAAACACACCTCCCCAAAATCCCCTCCCCCCTAAAAAAAACCATATAGATACCCTTCCCTTCCCTTTGTCACCACCAACCAACTTAACATATTTAACAAACCCAGCATGACTTAGTTGTACAACCCATGCAATAGCAGTTACCAAATTTATGTAATGTAAACATATTATGTAGTAATGATTTTCTTACTCCACTCCCTCCTCTCTATGTGCATGTGCAGAGAAAAACTTACGTGGGGTTGTTCATGTCACGTGACAGTATTGAGTGGCATACTAATTGAGTTAAAAGATAACATATATTCATATTAATGACTAATTATTATTTCTTATAAGCACATGCCTTTCTTTTATAACTAGATTGTTTTGTCACTCAGCACTACTATTATGTAGAATTGTAAACGGATTTAATTCGGATCGGATATACCTCAATCCAAATCCGTATTCATTTATAATCGAATTATCGAATTGAACCTATCAATCCATATCCATTGCGCATCAAATTCGGACAAGTCTACTATCATGTGGTATGAACAATCCTATAACTAAAAAATAAAAAATTCTCCCATATATATACATGATACATACTAAGCCCCAATATACAAGTTATAACTTAAAGTGAATGGTTAACCTCTAAAGAAATGAGTGGGTCCCCAAAATACATCTTTATTCGGTGCAGATATAAGATTAAAAATATTATTATTAATCTCAAACCAAAACTTTATAATGTGCAAAGCAAAATGTGTAATTGAAATAATAACTTTTCATGCGTAGAGTAGCAAAGATCATCCAGTATGATGAGAAGTCTTTTTTATTTTTTATTTATAACGATGAGAATGAGAATTCTAAGTCTCTCAAGTAAAAGCAGGTTGCATTAATTATGTCAGATTCTGTAGAGCCACAAGTTCAATACACCTTGCCATAAGACCACAATTAGAAGAAAAACAAGACATTTAAAAACGCTGGTGTCTTAGAAACTATGTTGAATTGGGTTAGGTTTCTTGACTTTTTATTTTTTATTTTTGGGTAAAAGGGTTAGGTTTCTTGATTATACATCTGACTATGATGTTATTATTTTGTTATACTTTTTTTAATTTTTTTCTTTTTAAAAGTCATTTTGGTGGTTTGGAGTGACTGGTGGGTGAGCAGAAATGAACTCAGTTGTATAAAAATATGAATCCGAATTATGTTTTGTAACACCTTTGATGGGATGGTTGCATAATTTATAATTTCTATTATTTTTATTTGGTAATAATTTTCATCTGAATAAACATACTACAGAAAAAATAGATGTATATTTAGAAAATACAAATACGTAAAATTTCATTTATTAAAATAGTACAATCCAGTCCTGCACTAAACACATGGTACAACTCATTCGAGCTTCTAATAAGAAATATGATACAACACCAAAGGATACAATTGTACACAAAACAATACTAGTACAATTCCATATGATACAGTTTAATCTGATTAAAACAGTAGAGTCCAATTTGACATACCATATATGCCTTAATTGGTTCTGAGGACATGAACAGCTAAACCCTATTCCCCGTCACCGATTTGCAACTTTGAGCATGTTGCGCATAGGTGGTCCAGTATGAGGCATTAAAACATATTGAATCTATCCTCTGTGCAATCCATCAGAACCTAGGAAAATTTGTTGGGAAACAAAAGCAGATGGTGGGAGTGGGAGATATGTGACAGAATTTTCGCAACTGCAACCAATCGTATTTTCGGTTGGAATGGCAGCGAGGTCAGCTGAGCCATAAAGAACATTATTATTACCTGAACTTGAAGGAACCATGGGAGTTTGATAAGAAACTAGTGGAGTATGTTGAGCAATTACATTGCTCAAGGCGTCAACTATCGTGCTGCCCATGGGAGCAACCATGGGAGCAACCATGGGAATTTGACCCGAAACTAGAGGAGCATTTCAATTCCCTATTACTTCACCATTTCCTCCCAAACCAACTAGTTGTGCTCTTCCAACCCAGCCATTGGCATGTTCTCTTCCTTTCCCTTCTTCCAGTTTCCGTGCTGTTCCCAACCTTGAGTTTGCTGTCCTCCTCTCCAACCTTCCCCTTGCTGTTTTTCTTTCAATCGTTTACTTACCCGCATCCTCTTGGTCTGGTGACCGTTGAGGG